CTTTACGATATAAATATTACCTATGCTTTAAATCGTCAGTAATAAATCTAATATTGTTCGTTCTGATAGCCAAATTATTGCTTTTGAAGCGGTAAAGATTTGAGATTCCTGTTGTTGCGTGATCATCTTACAACATTGGAATGTTAATTTTGTATATTTATGTGTGTATCCGCTAAACTTCCAACGCGGGCTCATAATGATGGCGGCGATACTAAAGTGATCGCGTGGAAGAAAACACGTTTGCTTCGCCGATCGCGGTTTTTAGTCAATTTAGTACATTAACAACGCTTTTGTTTAGTGGAAACCTTGCAGTTTACGAAACGAATCAGCCCCTGCTTCGAGCTGGCTTCGTTTCAAAATAATGTACACTTATTGACACCAGAGCATAGTGTCAGTTGCATATTATCGAAAATATATGAAATTCTGAACGGTGTAGGAACAGGGGCTGATTGGATCCATAATCTGTGAGTACTAAAGAACGTTAATGTGAAAATGTTAGTTTATCTGCGTTAATATCCGCTAGAGGCAGCGGCCTTGTTTTGGTCATTTGGATGGAGACCATTTAAATGGTCACGTGACTGTTGCCATGGCACCAAAGGCATAGAAAAAAAGTAAAATCCTATTGTCCTCATATACCAACATTGACCACATTCATACAAACTAAACTGATTTTTTTATATAATTTAATGTATTTTTGGCTATATTTGAATGGGAGCCATGCATTAATCTACCTGCATGCATGCATGACCTTGTTTCGTATGCTATCGCAAGGACTTGGTTGAGAGACACATGGGAATTTAAACGTTGCTGTGTGAGTCAAATGGTGGGACTGCGCGCAGGATAAATGACCACTATTTAGAACAGTGTGATAAACTTTTTAAATATGTTGCGTTATTCTAATGTATATTGTTTGGCCAATTATAGATGCCCGCCAATGAGAAAACAATTGCCATAAATTATCGTACGCCGGGTATAAATATAGTTTTTAAGACTGATTTAATTACAAAAACATAGGAGGCGCAGTAGATAGTTGTAATAGGTACAAAAATACTAAAATGCTTTAAAATTCAATAAAAAGTCATTGTGTTACCGTGAAAATATTCTAGGAACTGTTTTTATAGCCATAGGTGTTTATTTAAATCATGGCGAGACTCAAGCTTGCGTCATGAGTGCAGACTTGCAGTGGCGTGGTGACGCGTATATGCATGGGAAGGAAACTCATTGCTTTATATCCACATACATGCTCACTTCGCAACCAAAAATACGAAACAGAACAATTTCCGTATTTTGATGTTTTGATTTTCATCACAATTTCCATATTTTAATGGGTTTTTTAAAACTTTTTAATAATAACAATAATAATTTCAATTTATATAGCGTACATATCCTGAAGGGTCCAAGGCGCTCTTATACTTGTAAAGCGCCTTGGACCTTTCAGAATATTTGCGCCAAATAAATTGAAATTATTATTATTTGTATATTAATATTATTAATATAGAAATTTTAAATTTTTTATAATGTTAAAATTAATTAGCGCATGTAACTTAATTTCGAGTTTCAGATTCCATGCACTGTAGGAGCCACCTAACCAGTTATTCAACGTTTTCATGCAACCATTATGCTGGATTAATATAAACGAGTATGTTTATGACATTCAGTATATAGTTCGTAATTTCCAGTCTTCAATCCGTCCTGACCGTGTAGCTAAGTGGTAGAGCGTCGATCTAGTAACTCGAAGGTCGCGGGTTCGAAGTCCAGCCGCGGCAGGCAAAGTTTGTTTTTGTTTTTATATCTATATATATATATATATATATATATATATATATATATATATATATATATATATATATATATATATATATATATATATATATATATATATATATATATATATATTGTTATATATATATATATATATATATATATATATATATATATATATATATATATATATATATATATATATATATATATATATATATATATATATATATATATATATATATATATATATATATATATATATATATATATATGTTATATATATATATGTTATATGTTATATATGAGAGCAAGTTCATGGGATATAAATACGAATGCATCGCGTATCTAGATGTGTACCAAGCTGTACTCAGACGAGGCGTTGAACAGCAAAACATGCATGTCTGCAGATTGTACTATAACGCTCATTCACTTCGGTGTTGTAGAGCACTCTGTGGAGTTAATTGAGTGTCCATTAGCAATAATACAAAGCTCACTAAATCCCTTGTGGTCGTTTGAGCACTCTGGTCCCATTACCATTGAAAAATTAAAATTCAGAAGACATAGTGAAGTAATTGTCAGTTACTTTGTGTAAGCCAGTGCTGCAAGAAAGCCTCTCAGATAAGATTTAACATCAAATAAGAACACATGGTAAGAGATGCCTTTAACCACATCAAAATGATCAGAGGTGCAAATTAGAGGGATGTAACGTTTATGGTATTAATATTGTCATTTTGTACATGCAGTATGGATATAAAAATATATATTCTTTCTTTGCTATTGTAGTGTGGCTTAAAGATGCGGTACAGTCTGTATGTAAACAAAGGCTTTGTTTACATTTCAGTATCCAAAATATTGAATTTTATTCCACAACTATTTATATTTTCACGATTCTAAGAGTATATAAATTATGAAAACACAACAATCAAGCTTTGCAAGAACATCAAATGAAATAAAAACCTAAATAAACTGTTTGTAAATAGGGCTCCTTTGTGCACATGCGCAGATCAGACTGTACCGTATCTTTAATGCTTTACATCTCTATAGGCCATTCGCAAACATTTGAGGAAAGTTGGCCCAAGAACAAAGGACACCCCAAAAAATATTTTGACGTGTACCCTGAAAATGATGTTTTGTAGTAAAACAGTACTTCTTCTATAATCAGGATCAGGTAATCAGTTATTAAATAATCATCCAGTGAGTACAACTAACTATGATAAAAATTCATGTAATCAGCCCTTCGCATCCCCCCCCCTGCTCAAACCCACCTATGCCCCGCCCCTGACAACCTTACTCAATATAGAGCAGATCAATTAATTAAGGGTGTGTTCATTAACTTCATTTATCACTCTATATGGGTTAAAGAGGTCAATAGTAGCTTTGAATGCTCACAACACCTGGCAAAAGTGCACTAAATAGTCTGATATGCAGTATCATAGGGGCTGCATCCTAACGTTAAAGTAAAGTAATATCTAAATTGCTATATCAGATTCATGAAAATAACAATTATAATAATGATAACGATATCCCAGAACGACATCGAATCATAACTCCGTTTTATAAAGTGTTACAATTTCTCGAGTCTTTGACTCTTGACCCTTGGCGGGTGTTTTGGTATTAACATACATTTTGTTTTCTTCAAAACAGAGCAAAGGAAACAGAGCAAAATAAACTCAAGATGTTCATAGACATAGTATTAATATTACAACCACAACAAAACACACGTAGTGTATCATTATAAACTGCTGCATGGGAGATCAATTGCCGAGCTCTAATATAGTCAATATATATATTAATAAATATTTCCACATATAATTGGGTATTATTCTATCCCAATGATTTTAACAAAAATATCGCCCGTTTCATTTATATATAAAAAGAATGTAGAATAGTAAAATTCCTCTGTTTTGAAATATTTCAATGCCGAATATTTTGCACGACACAACTGTTTAACATCTCACATACACATTCATAGTACTGTACAACAGCTTACCTTTCAAAAAACATCCTTATAAGCACGATAATGAACGTCAAAGGAACAACAATGTATAAATCGCGTGTTTGTGGAATACGAATGTTATGTTTGTTAGCGGTCAGATGTTCCCATTCTGTCGTGGGAGGCAGCCAAAATGATTCGCTCCAAAACCAGTGACTAAACTGCTGCAACATTGTTATTTATTATTATAGCTTTCTTTAATAATGTTAGTTATCTTTCTTTAAAGTTAATAGTTAAATATTTTGTTAGTAAGAAATGAAGCAGTATTGTAGCTGCGTTGTTTATATTCACGCTCAAACGTTCGTAAATGCACATGACACGACTGGAATGTACCGACGTTGACATTCATATGCAAATTTCAGAGACATTTCCCCGGGGTAAAACATCACTACAGGTATACAGTCTCAACAATAATATGAGAATTGTTTGAAGAAAAATATAAAATGATATCTATACAAACATGACATGTTTTATGAAAGGAAGGCACATCGAATGAAAGCTCACATAAACGACAACCTTGGCGTGAGGTCAGCAATAGGGATAAAATCCCCGGTATAATTTGGAGCGAGGTGATGGGCGTGGTAAACCACCACAAAGACCCAGAGACAAAGACCTTAATATCGTATTAATAATAATTAATATTGAACGTGGACGTAATATTGCATCGGCAGAAAATAACGAAACATGCGAAAACTTAGGTTTAATAACTAGGTTCGACCAGAATACTGTAATTGAAACTTCAAACTGGGTTAACTAAGCTGGATTTTCACTAGAAATATTTTTGTGGTCGAAATATTTCACTGATGACGTTGTCTTGAATTGTGACCATCTAAATAATCAGTTCTACTTGATCGCTCACAATTCAAAAGAAATTGAGCGAAACATTTCGACAGCGAAATTTTCTCGCAATTTGAACCCCTAAAAAATAGGTTTAGAGTTAACGCGTGGCGAACTGGGGTTAGTTTTGACTTTTGACAATACACATTGGGCTTTAATATACGTATTTAGTGCGGTGGATTGAAAATCTTGACCTTGTGTTGTTTGAAAATTTTGACCTTCTAATTGTTTTCTTATTCTTCAAGGGCTTATTTATCGTAATTATAATTGTATTCAAAGAGCCAATTAATGGAATAAATCTGAAAGACGTTTTGATGCATGTCATTGTTTAATCCTCAGAAAAAAACTAGGAATTGGGATCCTGAGGAACATTTGTACTAATGACATGGAGGAACATTTTCAAAACCTAGCTTAGATAGGAGCATTTACGATAAATTTCAGGAGGAGAATTTATACAGGGAAATGTATGCACATCAAACACTTTTTCCTGGTCTGTACAGTATATTAAAACAACGTGAAAATCTGTAGTTTGCGTTAGATTCAGGAATTTGTGTTAGTTTTGGCAGTAAACACATGTTTATGAGTATGTGGGAAAACTGGTGGTCATGTCACCGCGGTTGATCGATGGTCTAACCGCGGTTTTATTTAAAGACCGGCTTACACATCTATCGCTTACTTTAATGATAAACTGAACTTCAAGACAAGACTTCTGGAAAATATTTCCAAGCTTATATATAGCTAATGTATAAACAATCTGTTGGAAAGCTTGGTTCGAGGTTTTCTAATAGTTAACCCATGGTTAAGCTAACCGGCATTCGAACAATCGCCCTTCCCGATTTTTAATTTAGCTCAGTGCTACAGGAATCAGAAGAAATCACTGATTTCAAAATCAATAGTGTTATGTGCAGGAGGAGGCAATATAGCGATCATGCATATTTAGTATTTTTGCACAAGTGAACATAACAAATCCTACACGTTGATTGGTCAAATTTGACGTATTAAGCTGTTATATTCACCTACAGGTTAGCCTGCGTAGCAGGCGTTTAGTGCTGGCGGGAGAAGAGATCTTCTCCTGCCCGCACTAAACGCCTGCTACGCAGGCTACCTACAGTATGGGTGAATATAACAAAACCTAAATTTTCAAAATGGCGGCTAGCCGTTTTGTGGAAGTTACTGATAAAGAAATAAGCGAAATTAAAATAAATTCAGTCCCAAAAACACAAAAGACTTGTGTAAGAATACTAAAACAATTATTCGCCTCAGGCTCGGTGATTATCGGGGAATATTCACCTCGCCTTTGCCGAATAATTGTTAAATATTGGATTGTCGAATTTCGAAACTGTCAATACGCGACTAGTACTGCACAGACGTCTCGTTAATACAACCATTGCCAATGCATGAAACTGAGAAAAAATCGTGAGAAGAACCATATATTTTGAAAAGAGAAATTTAATGAATGAAATCTTGCAATATATAATGCTCCCATGAATCATTGTTATACCTATTAGCCTTCAAAACTTTATCACATTGTTAAAACTATGCAATAATTTAAACTGTTAAAACTAATCTGGAGCTATAAAACAAATTCTTCAATCGTCATATATATTATGAAAAACTAAATACAGAATAAACTAGAGCAAAAATCTACATAAAAGAACCAGTGGTTAAAAACCACCAGCCTGAACGGCAGAGAAATGAGCACCTAAAATGCAAGAACCACCCCTGTTTTTTAAGCAAGTTCTCAACAAGTTGTTATCATCTTGTAACAGGGTTGAGGCCAACAGACTCACCACACGTTGTTCCAACAACATTGATATCGTCAGCCCGTAACAAGTTGTTAACAAGTTGATGATAACAAGCTCGTAGCAACTTCTTACGAACAGTAACTGCAGAACAGTATTAGTCTTGTTGGACCAACTTGTAGCAAAGTCTATCACCGTCATCCACCTTCTAACAATTAAGGTGACAACAAGGTTGAGAACAACCTAGCCTGCGTGCAGTCCCAGACTCTAAGAACAACCTTGTTAAAACAGTTTTGCAGATCTGTAACAACTTGTGTGTTTGCTATGTTTTTACATATGCGGCGTCACTACTAGTGGTTCTTTTATGGAGTTTTTACTAGAAATGCAGTGAAAACTGCTTACAACTTTTTCTTGCCATTCTGTACGACCTTGTCATCCGGTCTTGCTTCTTTCCCGTCTGAATCTTCATCTGCTGATTCTTCGCTATCGCTGCGAGAATCTCGGTCCACCTGTGCCAAAAAACAATGTAACTGATCTCAAAAATATTACTGGAATGAGCAAGCATTGTTTGTAGTGACATACTGTAAAATTAGTGTCGGGTGGGGGTCACTGACAGTTGCATACGTTTTTGGCTGACAATTGACAAAATATGTTGACTGATTAAAATTATGCATTGAAAGCTGACAACCATAGACGGATTTGCAGGGAGCTCGCACCCCCCCCCCCCC